ATGTATGATAATAACAATAATTATGTAAGGTTGAATGTATTATCATTACCAAACAACTTATTTTCTTTGTTATTCTCATAGAATAACGTTGTCCACACACGTCCACATAATAGATATTATCTACATTTTAACCTCTCTCTGTGTGTGTGTGTGTGTATATATATATATGGTGAGGTTCAATAGAGAACCATTATTTGTGGAAAAGATGTAAATGTCCTCATCCTCATCACTAAAACTAGCCATCTGGAAAGCTTTCTGTGATGCCACGATTGTAAAGACAGCTTCGATTGACATATGATTTAGTTGATGAAATGACCATGACTTGCCTAGGTGTCCGGTTCATTTCTCTGGTTCAAAGGATCAAAAGGTCATTTTTGTATTGTTTTTTTTATATCTAGCCAAGAACCCTAAAAACAAACAAGCGGCATTGAGTCTTTGAAATACCAATGTCATTTTTAGTTGAAGTTGTAGTGTTATTGATTTAATTAGAATGATGCAAAATGCATGTAATGTTTTATGAGCAAGATTGGAATCCACTGGTGGATAAATAAGTTTTGGAGAGCGTACGAATGAACCCTCTTATATAAAATGAAGTCGAAGGTTTAAAATGCAAATGCTCATTGTCATTGATTCCTTCATGTTTGATCGAACCCGAAACATGAAGGATCATCCATAGGTAAAACGGGTCTGCTTTTTATTTTATTTTTGGCAGTAATATTTTTATGTAAATGTTTTTAATTTTATTGTTATAAGGTTTGAATGGATATATGACTAACATGTACACCATGGAAAAGGGTCTTTTGCATCTACATTGTAAGATGTAAGCATTCTTCTCTAATCTATATTATTCTGTATAGAACTATAATTATTTCGGGTTTTTATGGAATTATTAGTGTTACCCTAAATTTTTGTTGTGGTTAAGTGCATTTAAAACGATCTAAATGTTATGGGTTAGGTGGTATTTGATTGACTAGATTCCATTTTTATGTTATTTTCATATAAATTATTCAAAGTATAAAGACATATTTTTGGACAAGACCAATTCTTTTTGACCAATGGGTTTGGGATATTCTATAGCTTCAAAGTTGACTATTTTACTTTTTATATACTTCATTTGAAAAGTTTTTAGTAAAAATATTTAAAATTATGAGTAGCCCATATCCCTAATTCCCAATACAACATGACACATTTGGTTTTAATGTGAAATTATGGAGTAGAGGTTGATATATGGAGTATTGGTTTTAAGTTAAGAAACCTCAGTTTAGCGATGCCATTATTTATAAATAAATTTGAGATTAAGATTGTGGTTTTCAACGTGTTAGAAGGCTTTTCTTTTAAAGAGCTATTCATGTTTCTTATTTTACACTTTTTTAAAGCCTATATATTTCCATTTAGGTGTTTTTTTCATTTTACTTATTTGATTATGCTTTTTAGTGGGGATATTTATGTTTCCTTCATTTTTAAATTTCACTCATTAAATCTATATGATTTATTGTTTCTAAAATTCATGTCTTTTTTCCCAAGTTTAAAAAAATTTATCAGCCGATTATTTATTTGAATTTACTTCTATATTGTGTTTAATGTAATTTTTAATATTCTGGTATTGGTGGATTTAAAAGTCCACTCCAGTTTTAGGATCTAGGGTATAAATATAAAATTACATGGATATTAAAGATCAACTCCAGTGCCCAAAGACTTGATATTATGTTTATTTCTCTAACCCTTTTTTTTTTTTTTTTTTTTTTTTAAATCGTCCAAAATGTCCCTTCTAATAGCATAATAAAGGGGACTTTTTTTGTATTTTTTGAGTCACTTTCTCCAAAATAATGTTTTTTAACGAAAGAATAAAATTGTTTGTTTTTTACCTTTATTAATGAAATGATCAAATTGGGTATTTTGGACTTAAAAGGAGTGATTGTAAAAGTATTACTTTGGACTTGATTTCATTAGAAATACAATGCTTTATCTTGCTTTTATTGGACAAAGTGCCTTATTGATTATTCATATGATGTCTTATACATTCGACATGAAACGAAGAAAGATCTCAGGCGTATACCAATGCATAAGTGAAAGAACAATACCGTTTAAAAGTTTAAAAATAGCATTTTGAACCACGTAAACGGTCACAATGCCCGAAAAATACCTTAGCTTATGGTGTAGCCATGAGTTTTACTTATTTGTCCACCCTATTGTACGAATATGCACCTTGCTAGAAACTATCCGTTAAGATGAACTACTCAACACAAAACAATCCGTCAAAAGGCCGTAAGGAACTAGCTCGTGCTTAAAGAAAATTAATTGTCTCTAGAAACTAATTTCTGAAAAAACTATGTGCACCCGTCGCTTGGCATGAGTAAACGGCTAGTGTATATATATATATATATATATATATATATATATATATATATATATATGGAAATGTTATATAGAAAACAAAAAAACCCTAAAAATCATTAAAAAAAAATACTTAGAGATCACAGATCTTTTCTTTGACTTTATATTTTTAAAAATCGCAGTTTTTTTTATTTTATTTATTTTTTATTTATTTATTATAAATTCGTTGAAAAAGAAATTAAAAAATCAATTTTTTATTTTTTATTTTATTTGGTTTTTTTTTTTCAAAAAAAAAAATTTAACGAATTTATATAAAAAAGTGCGGCTTTAAAGAATATAAAGTAAAAAAAAAAAATTGTGATCTCTAAGTATATTTTTTATGTATATTTATGTATTTTTAGGTTTTTTATTTTCCATAGAACTTTTATATATATATATATATATATATATATATACACACACACACACACACACCACTTTATACACCTATAAATAACCGAGTACTTTCATATTCAAAATCACACATTTTTCTATCAATTCTTCTTTATTTCTTAAAAAAATGAACCCCAACAATCCTAAAAATCCAACCCCAAAATCTCATAGAAGAAAACCAATGTTTTGAGTTCAAATACCCGAACTCAAAACATGTTTGCCTTCAATCCATCCCTACCGGTTTATCGATCCCAATTTGATGCCCCCATTCAATCTCCTCTTCAATCCATCTCCTCTACAATTCCAATACCAAAATATTAGGCAATACTACCCCCATCAAAGTACCAAATGGTAGTCCAAATATGTTCAACAACTTTGTATTTTTTTCCAGATCAACTTTCACCAAATCAATCCGAACCCAAAGCCAAACCCCACCCTTTCACCTTCAACCACAAAACAAAAGCCTCGATGAGTCGAACGATAAATTTGTACGGGAAACTCAAACTCCCACCACCACCCCCACTACGCCGCAAAGGAAAACAACAAGTGCAAGAGACGACAAAATTGAAGCCTCAAGCATGGACTCTCCAAGAAAAGCTGGTGTTGACACATGCTTGGGTTGATTTCGGAGGATTCAACGCATGGAAATGCACAAGCGCATGAACATTTTTGGCTTCACATTCTTGAAAGATGTCGCATGGAGTTGGGTAGAGAAGACGAGTACCGTACCAAGCACCAACTTAATTCAAAGTTTCGAGAAATAGCAAAAGCCGTTTAAAAAAATGAACGAGTTGTACAACAATCTAAAAACTCAAAGGAGAAGCGGTCAAGGAGATGAAAAAAATTCTTCAAGAGGCTTTGCATTTTTTTTTTCGCGAGGACACGGGAAAGACATTCAAGGTTAATGAGCCTTGGAAATTGTTAATTCTTAGTCCAAGGTGGAAAAAATATGAAGTCAACTTCATACTAGGAGCAAACCAAAAAATAACAAAAACAGGTTCCAGTGGATACATAACTTCTTCTGATGCTTGTATCGAGTTAGATTTAAATCAGGACGACGAACTCGAGCTAGAAGAAATTGTCCGGAGGATGGGTAGGGACAAAGCAAAAAGGAAGGGGGAGGGGGTTGTCTTCCAATGCATCTGATTTCAACATGGAAGCGGACGAAATGCAGAAAATGACAACAACATTTGATCAACAATCTGAATTTTATTTCACTATACATTTGACATTCAACAAAGAAAAAACAGTCGTAGAAAGAAGTGCGCGGAAAGACAAGAAATAGACAATATAAAGTTATTGATAAAAAAACCATCGTATATTACCAATATTTTTATTTTTCTCAATCAACAATATATTTCAAATAGATATCTCATATAACAAGAAAACTTGTTTACATCAGTCATGTTATCATATTTTAAAATAGCAAATTATGGATAGAAATGTCTTTTTGTTAAGAAAAAAAAACATAATATTATAATAACAAAATCGAAATAAAGTTTTCTAGAAAAATAAAGTAGAATGATAATTGGAGCATCCACCGAAAGGAAGTTTAATAGAGGGGATGAGAAATTCATTCCCAAAATAAGTTTAAATTTTCTATAAAAGATTTGGATAAATCAGTAATAATTTAATATTTATTATATAAAGAACCAACTTTTTATTATTCTTTTATGTATTATTAATTTTCTTTTATTATAGAATAATATAAATATAATCTAACAACTCAATAATATTTGTTAAAAAACAAACAAAATTGTTTTTAGTTAGTTTTTAATTTTAAATTTTAGGGAAAATAACGAAAAAAACACTATATTTTTCCAAAAGTTCGATTTAACCATCAGTTTTTAAAAAGTTACGAAAAAACCACCAATTTTTGGCTAAATGTTTCAACATGACCACTGTTACCTATTAGAACTTATTTTAAGTACGAAAAAAACACTATATTTTTTTTCAAAAGTTCAATGTAACGATCCATAAGTTGGTGGTTAAACCGAATTTTTAGAAAAATATAGTGTTGTTTTAGTATCTAAAAACTAAAATAGGTTATAATAGGTAAAAGTTGTCGTAGTGAAACATTTTACCAAAAATGGATGATTTCTTCGGAACTTATTAAAAATCGGTGGTTAAACTAGAAAACGTGACAAAATGTAGTTGTTTTTTCGTCATTATCCCTTAAATTTATAATTAATGTATTTTTAGTTTTATAGTTTTTAATAAATATATTTTCGGCTATGATAATTAAATTGTCTGTTTTATTTATATAATTAGAAACTTTTAATAAATGATATATTTAGAAAAAAAAGCGATTTGATATGACAATCAAAATCGTTTTGCTTTTAAACGGTAGTAAAAAACTACAAAGTGCATCCAAGAGGAGTTTTGCTTTCTGGCCATTCGAGAGCTGCTGTGCTTGAAGTCATGCGTACGTTGGACGCTTATCTTCTACACCGACGGTGGGAATCACTTCGCGAAACCACATTCTCCGACCACCCTCCGCCATCAGCAACCTCCCTCTCGCTGCCTCTCTAAGGTCAGTTAGCATCACACTTTTCACCATTAAATACACCACTGCTAATCGTTAGAAAGTTACTTTCCTCTTAGCTTAAGGGTTTAACTGTTTAAGCTATTGATTTTTCAGCAATTAACTGGTAGGAACCAGTGAATAATATATTCCGTTTGCTGACTTTACAACATCTAGTTTTGCTGCTCCTGATTTGGATCGAGGACTTTTAATTGAATACTAAGATTGCATAAGTTTATTGCGCTTGAAGAACACTTGCTGATGTGTATTGTAATTTGATTTTATAGGTACTGAAAACAATTTTAGTTAGATTACAACTTAAGCATACAAAACTTTACCACTTTTATTTCCTGAAGTTATCGCAAGGACTAGATGTTATCCCAAAGGAAATGCATAGTTAACATCTATTTAAGATCTGATAGTATTTCATATGATTTTTGATGCGAAACACAGCATGGGTAGTACAATCAAAGAGGACCAATGTATGCCTGATGAAAAACTGGAACAACATACAAATCATTACAACAAGGAAACCATGGCAGGTAGTGAGCTTTGGACAGATGGACTCTTATGTGCTTTCGAATATGTGAAAGGTCAAAGAAGATCAACAAAGTCAAAATCACACACAAAACCCCAACCAGCTCATAAGCTAACGACCAAATCATCTCTTCAAGAACTTGATGATGGTTATTCATCAGAACCCACACCTCTTACAGAAATCTGGAATGAAAATATCCACCATTGGATCCCAATTGGTTGGGCAAGAATATCTGAACTTGTTGAAACAGTGCAAAGCAATGATGACTGGACCTCACAGCAGTATGATTTCACGGATGATGAAGATGATCGCACAACTGCAGATTTAGCTGCCCCCTATTGGGAGCGGCCAGCTGGACCTATATGGTGGTGCCACGTGGATGCAAGCCACCCACACATTAGTTCCTGGCTTACTAATGCTTCATGGTTGCATCCTGCTATAAGTATTGCTTTGAGAGATGAAAGCCGGCTTATAAGTGAAAGGATGAAACACCTTTTATATGAGGTATATTATATAATATATCGACTGTTTTGTATGATTATAGTTGCATCTTTTGACTCTTTATAAAATCTTGATTCATGATTATGGATTTGTTGCATGTTGTGTAGGTCCCAGTTAGGGTTGCTGGAGGTTTATTGTTTGAACTTTTGGGTCAATCTTTTGGTGACCCGTATATTAAGGAAGATGATGTACCAGTTGTGCTTCGTTCATGGCAAGCTCAAAACTTTTTAGTCACTGCATTGCATCAAAAAGGAGTTACATCATTCTTAAATGTTTTGGGTGTCATAGAAGTTCAGGTTTCTTTCCAATCTTGTCCTTCATCAATACAAATATTTACTAAGGGTTCTGTTTCTTTTGACTTAATGGGTTAAGCCAAAAAACCTGGCTTAACGTAATTAAAGACATTAACCATTCACCTATTTGCCTTTCTGTTCTTTGTCCTCATATTTTATTTCTTTTTAGCTAATTACTAACTTACCCTTTATCTAGGAACTTCTTTTTGCTGGTGGTAATAATATACCAAGGACAATACATGAGGTGATAGCACTTTTAGCCAGCCGGCTTGCACGATGGGATGACAGGTGAGCTTATATTTTTTCTTGTTTTATTTTAATTTTGTGTAGTAAATATTAATAATATATATTTCTTAATGTTCAGATTATTTCGGAAGTCTATATTTGGGGAAGCTGATGAAGTGGAACTGAAGTTCATTAATAAGAGAAACAACGAAGATTTGGATCTTTTCATTATAATTCTTAACCAAGAAATCAGAAGGCTATCACAAGAGGTTTGACATGATTTTAATACTTGAGTTTATAACCGTTGCATCTCTTATTTTAAATAAAAAGTTAAAAAAAATAATATGTGTTTCTTTTGAAGGTTATTAGAGTCAAATGGTCATTACATGCAAGGGAAGAAATTGTGTTTGAACTTGTTCAACATTTGAGTGGAAACACAACCAAAATGTTGCTTGAGGGCATAAGAAAAAGCACAAGGGAGATGCTTGAAGAGCAAGAAGCAGTTCGTGGTCGCATTTTTACAGTTCAAGATGTCATGCAGAGCACCAAACGAGCCTGGTTGCAGGTTTTTTTTTTCTTTTCTTTCTAGAAAGAAGGGTAAAACGGTCATTTTACCCTTCATATTCAAACCCAAAAAGAAACAGTCTTTGTTGGTTTGTTTACATAGCACTTTTTAGGTACCGTTTGTACGAGACTAAATGACGATTTTACCCTTTTCGTTTCTTTTTTGCAGGATAGAAGCACAAGGGTGACACATAATTTAGGTGTGTTTGGTGGGTGTGGGCTAGTTTTGTCAATTATCACGGGATTATTTGGGATCAATGTTGATGGAATCCCTGGAAGTGAAAATACACCATATGCATTTGGTCTATTTTCAGGAATGATGTTGTTGATAGGGATCATCTTAATTGCAGTTGGGTTAATATATTTTGGACTTAAACAGCCAATCACTGAAGAACAGGTTCAAGTAAGAAAACTGGAGTTGCAAGAACTTGTCAACATGTTTCAGCATGATGCAGAGACTCATGCTCAGGTTCGTAAGCATGAATCTAGGAACAATCGGACCATAAAGGATGCAAATTATATTGTTATTAATTAGCAAATGTAAAACATAAATATCGGTTATTGTGGTATATAAAGCGAATTAATAACATGTGGAAAATGTATACGTATACGGCATGAATTGATAGTTGGTGTAGAAGTATATGTTTTTTTGTACAACAGAAATAAGTTGTTTCAAGAAAAGTTTGTTATGTTGGCATTTCCTTTATTGGATAAATATAGTGTTGTCATGATGGAACCTCTTATAATTGTCGGATTTTTATTTTTATTTTTTATGAATAAAGCTAACAATGTATTTATATATAATATGGTTATTATCATCGTCATCATGGTTGTATATTTCAGATCTAAATTAAAAGTTCTTAGATGGAGTTGCTTCATGTTTTTTAGATAGTACTATACTCTATTCCAACTCACGTGAGCTTTTAGGCAATTTTGCGAAAAAAAAACTACTTAGATAAAGTGCAAAGTGAAGTACGACAGATCAAACTAAAGATATTAAGGGTAATAGACATTTGTTTGTTGAGATAATTGCATTTTGATGGAGTTATTTATATAAGGAAAAATAAAAGAAATAAGGTAGACAAAAAACTCATTCTTTTTCCTATTTTCTTTTTTTGTTGTTTACCTTGTCTTGATGGTTTTCAGCATTACAATCCCGAAATAAACATTTCTTTAACCAAAGAGAAAAGACTACTGTGTTCGGTTCTTGTTGGAAAAATACATATCAAAATCTATTTGTAGGATGTTTAGAGATAGTATGTTAGTTGAATATCTTAGATTGTTTTTAGAACCAATCATAAAAATACGTTTGAGCCCCAATCTATGTTTGAAATCTAATTTCGACTTTTAATTTGTACTGGTTAGAAACATTTTTAATCTTAAAAGTGATTTGATTCGTAGCAATCTCATTAAATTTCGCTGAGTCTTATTTATTTTCATTAATAGTCATGTTAATTATAACCAGTGTTGCAGAAATCGGCCTAATCGGCCGATTAATCGTTAATCGGACATCCACCGATGAGATTTATTGCTAATCGGTCAATATAATCGGGCTTGGTCAATATAGGTCAAAGTCGGAATTAATCGGATCTAATCGGGTTTGGTCAACGCAGGTCAAAGTTGGACCTAATCGGACCTAATCGCCAATCAATCGCTTATTTTGTAGGATTAAAGTTAGATATATGAATTTTTGAATAATTTTCTTAATAATTAATGGTTCCCGATTAATCTCTCGATTAATTCTCACATAGCCGATTAATCCCTAATCGTTAGTCCACCGATTAGCAATTTCTACAACCATGATTATAACAAAGTTAACAAATTCTCTAAGCATCACATTATTATTAAATTTCAAATTAATAGTCACGTAACCTTTAGTCAGCAAACATAAGGTTTTGGAGATCGAATGTTTTTATGTTTGGTAACCGAGGGTTTTATGCTTGTGAATTTGAAATTGAATTCGAATAATAATGCAATTCTTAAAGAATTTATTAACTATGCTATTATTGATACGACTATTAATAGGAAGAAAATGAGTTTCAAAGGAATCTAATGACATTAATATGAATCAAATCACTTTTGAGATTTAAACGGGTTCTAATACGGAAACACTAAAATTGAAAATTATATTTCAAATATAGATCGGAATCTTGAAGTTGTTTTAGATTTTGATTTTGAAAAGAATCTAAAATGTCAATTCAGCATACAACGTTGTTCTTTAGCTGTTATTATCAAAAGTTTGTCAATAGTCCTTGTGGTTCCTTTTTATTTTATATTTAATACAAAATTACTATTTTACACCTTGATTGATTTCTATTAACTTTTAATTATTAATAGTTCAAATGAATCTAATGAGATTAATATGGATCAAATCACTTTTGAGATTTAGATTGTTTCTAATGCGGAAACACGAAAGTTGAAAATTATATTTCAAAATTGGAATCTAGAAGTCATTTTAGTTTTGATTTTGAAAACAATCTAAAATGTCAACTCAAACATACAATGTTGTTCTTTAGTTGTTATTATCTTTGAGCATCTTACGAATATATTTTGATATGCATTTTTCCAACAAGAATTGGACTTAACAACAATTTTTTGTTTAAAAAAAGAAAGAAAAACAAGGGGAATGATGAGCTACAACAAAAATTTTTGTCAATAATCCTTGTGGTTCATTTTATTTTATATTTAATCTATTATTACTATTTTACATCTTGAATGATTTCTATTAACTTTTAATTATTTGTTTTCAATATTTAACTAGAAAGACCCTAACAAACTCATCCCCATCCCACCACGCCCTCCATCGGATGCTGAAAATCATTTGTAATACTTAAAATCTCTTAGAAGTTCAAAACATTAAAATGCACAAATTGATATGAGAAAATCTAAGTGCTAAGAAATCAAAACCAAAAAAGAAAATGAAGATGAAGCCCTAAAAAACTTGAAAATGCATATTTTCTACTATGGTGAAAACTACAATCCCTAAAATTGAAACCTAATATTAAGATAAACTAACCCATTAGTTCCATGAAAAAGAATATTTGAATGTCAACAAAATTAAACTCATATCTTTAGTGAAAGAAAGTTTAATTATCATCTTTTAAACCAATAATCTGCCAACAAACCCAAAAAATCGAAACCTAGTATCCCTAATGTTTGGTGCAAGAAAAAACCATCTTCATCTTGAAACAAAAGTGGTACACTTTAGTGGGCAATATAGAACAACGAGAATAGATAAGGGAGGAAATAAATGATTAAGAGGATACATGAATGTTGTCTGGTAGAAAGTCAATGGAGGGGATGGTTTTTGGGGGTGTTGTTACGATGATAGAATCCAAGAGTAGGTAGAGAGTTTTGCCTCATGTAACGAAATATTAAACATGACTAAAGTTTTGACTTTTTGCAAATTGTAGAAATCAACTATATAATTTTGCTACTAGATAATTCAATAATTAAAAGCAAAGTCAAATATATTTTAAAAAATTATATTTATTTACAATATTTAATTTTCTTATACATCCCTAAAATGCAACCTACTTATAACCTTTCTTTTGTCTAACTTTTTATATTACAATGGTGTTTGATATTGAACATTTAAGAGTTTTTGAAAGCTTTTAAGAAAAACCTTGGAAAAAAAGTTTCATTTGGAAGTAGAAGTTTTATATTTTATTTAAACAAAAATTCATAATCTAAAAATTACTCAAGTCTTTTTATGGAGCTTTTAGTTTTTGATTATTATATAATTGTACACATTTTAAAACTAATAAACTATTTTTGTCGAACATCTCTACTCAAATAAAAGCTACAATTTTTTGTTCATTTTGATCCTAAAAGATATCAAAACCTCTTTTATTGTGTTCTAGTAGCAACTATTAGTATGTTGGACAACAAACTTAAGCTTTTTGGAACTTTTAAGAAACAAAAAAAAAACCTCGAATTCAAGAAAAAGTTTTATTCGTGGTTACGAACTTAAAACTTTTATTGTAAATAAAAAACTTATAATCCAAAAATGTTTTTATGAGAGCTTTTATAAACTTTTAAATTTTAGCTTTTATGTTTTATCGTGTATCTTCGGCAACAAGCTTTTAAAAGTTTTTAAGAGTTTTTAACTTTTTGATTTTGACAAAAAAAACCTTAATTTTATAAAATTTTATGTTCAAAGAGTTCAAACTTAATGTTTTTATGTTAAACAAATAACTTTTAATCCTAATTCTACTTCAAATAACTTTTAAATTTTTATATATTTTATTATGTCATTCTACACTTTCTAAAGTTTACAATTACTTTTATCAAATATTTACACACAAATAAAAATTACAATTTTAGATTTCTACTACCACCTACTAGCTTCTAATTAGCATCTAATTTTGCAAACATATGAAATAGCATGAACTAAAAAAAAAAAAAAAAAAAAAAACGATAAATTTGTTGAACCACAAACGGATCCGTACTTTTTACGGGTTTACCCTTCACATATCAAATCAAAATCAATTTATGAAGTTGTATAAGTTAAAGGATTTAAAATCAAAATAATAATTTTTGTAACGGATCCACTAAATCATGGATCGAACTTGTTCGTATAAAAAGTCCATGGGGAAATATTTGTAGTATGTGGAATGTGTTTTATAAAGGCTCATCTTTATTAGCTTCGATACGCACATCTTCGTAACGTACCCTAGGGTTTTTTTTGGGTCCTTCTTGCCGTTCATCTCAATCAGGTCCGATTCCCTTCGTTTTTGTTCTTACCTATTATATAATTAATGCATCCATACAGTAATTTTGGTTCTCGTGCTATTAATTCGTTGCATATTATGGTTTTTTGTTATTTTTGTCATGTTTCATTAAATCGCTTATCTTCATCGCCCCTAAATAGTTCTTTTTTGGGAAAATTTGAACTCCATATTTATATTTTTGATTGATTGTATCTACCACAATCTCTTAATTCCCCTGTGATTTTGAGTGGCTACAACTTATCGGCAGTTCCAATTTAATTGATTGAATGATCTCCACTAAATACGGACAATTAAAGTTTCTATTGCTTAATTCTTTATGTATTGCCGTTCGTTGATGCGTGCAGGAGGAGTCGTATTGTGAAGTATGGGTGAAAGCGGAAAGCGGCAGCGCAACAAGAGGGAGAGAGAAAGGGACAGGGATAGGGGGAGGGAGAAAGACGGTGGCAATGGCGATCATAAGAACCAGAGAAGAAGAGGAAACGAAAGAGATGATAGAAGTAATAACAACAACAGGGGTAATGATGAATTGGTTGCTTACAGAATACTATGTCCAGGTAGATTCATTGGCAGTGTGATTGGAAAGAGTGGGAAGGTCATAAATTCAATAAGACAAGATACACGAGCAAAGGTTAAGGTAGTAGATCCGTTTCATGGCACCAAAAACAGAGTCATAACAATATATTGTTATATTAAGGAGAAAGAGGAAATTGAGCCTGATGAAGAACTTGGTGATCGTGACCCTTTATGCCCTGCCCAGGATGCACTTATTAAGGTGCATAATGCAATTGCAAATGTAGCAGAAACAGCTGGTGATTCTGATAAAAAGTGGAAAGATAAGGAAGAGTGCCAACTTCTAGTTCCAGCTAGCCAGTCTGCAAATATTATTGGAAAGGCTGGGGCAACTATAAAGAAATTAAGAAGCAGGACAAGGGCAAACATTAAAGTTACTCCAAAAGATATTAGTGATCCTAATCATTCGTGTGCCATGGACTTTGACAACTTTGTTGTGGTTAGCCTTTATCCCCTGAAATTCTCTCTTCATCTGAAGTCTCACACATTGCTGATATTCCATTTTCATTACTTTCTTGAATATAGATAACTGGTGAACCAGAGGCAGTGAAGAAAGCACTGTTTGCAGTCTCCTCAATTATGTACAAGTTTACTCCAAAGGAAGAGATTCCTCTTGACACATCTGTACATGAAGCTCCTCCAAACATCATAATACCTTCTGATGTACCCATCTATCCTGCTTCTGGTCTATACCCAGGTGTAGATCCATATGTGCCTTCCAGACCTCTTCCATCTGTTCTAGGTGGTTCACATGTACCAGAACTTCAAGGGTATGCGGATTCTGGGAACACATGGCCAATTTACTCTTCTGCCCTCCCTGTGGTTTCTGGGTATGGTGGTGCATCTGCATCCGGGGAGTTACTCGTAAGGGTGCTGTGCCCATTTAACAAGATTGGTCGTGTTATTGGAAGGGGTGGTGCTGCCATTAGAAGTGTCAGAGAAGCTAGTGGTGCACGTGTTGATGTTGATGACACCAGACGCGATGAATGCATTATTACAGTTGCAGCTACAGAGGTAATCGTTCTTTACACTCTCAAAGATTCATCAACTTTTTTCTTTCTTTCTGAGCTGTTAAACGGAACTTGTGTAGTCATTGGATGATATAAAATCCATGGCTGTTGAAGCAGTTCTATTGCTTCAAGGAAAGATAAACGAGGAAGAAGACGAAAACGTTTCTTTTAGGCTCCTTGTCCCTTCTAAAGTTATTGGGTGCATCATTGGTAAAAGTGGTTCTATCATAAATGAAATTCGGAAGAGAACAAGAGCAGATGTTCGTATATCAAAAGGTGATAAACCCAAATGTGCAGATGCTAATGATGAACTTGTTGAGGTACTCTTGATTCTATCTATCTTTAAACACTTGGTGTTGATAATTATTAAAGTCTTAAAGTGTTTGTTGAAACTTTTAGGTGATTGGAGAAGTTGGGAGTGTGAGGGATGCACTTGTTCAAATAGTTCTTAGGCTTAGAGATGATGTTCTGAAAGATAGGGATAGTGGTGGTCATAATCAATCTTCAGGGAATGATTCCATTTATGCTGGTGGTAGTGGACTTCCTGTGCCTCCAGTGTTGCCAAGTGTCCCCCCTTCATTGGGTTATGAACATAGTCATAGAGGTGAACCTGGGAGCAGTATGGGTATGGGTATGCTTCCTTCAAGCTATGGATATGGTTCACTACCAATGAGTGACAATGGCTATGGATCTTTATCTTCTTCATATCCATCAAAGTTCTATGGAGGGTGTGTACTTTTCTTTTCTTTCTTTCTTTCTCACAATACTTTTCTACATTTGACTTTTTTGCCCCTGTTATTTTGATATATGTATGTGATGTGAAGCAGATTGCCTCCTCCTGATGGTTCTGAGATGCTTATCCCTGCTCATGCGGTGGGTAAGGTGATGGGTAAAGGTGGAGCCAATGTAGACAATATTCGAAAGGTGATATATTTTCTATTTTTTTGGTCCAAAAAAAAAAAAAAAAGAAAAAGATTGGTTTTTCTGATTTGGGATTTTGTTGTTTGACAGATATCTGGAGCTGTTGTAGAGATATCTGATTCGAAATCATCACGAGGTGATCGTGTGGCCATAATATCTGGAACACCTGAACAAAAGCGTTCAGCTGAAAACATGATTCAGGCTTTCATAATGGCTACCTGATTTCTGACAATGAAGGTGAATTTGGGTTAAATTCATGGGACCTTTTCCTTAGTGCGCATTTAGTTTTATTTATAGACATGACATGAAAACGTATCTCCTTCTATTCGGTTCTTTCTGCTGGATCTCTTTACTTTCTTCCAAAGATTCATCTGGGAGTGGCTGCATGCATGCTTGCTAAGATTGATTCATCTTAGTCTCTTCTGTTCTATCCAGTGGGACTCTTCATAAGACTTTAGTAGGATCTTTCTCTCATTCCATACTCTTTTTAATAACTCTTTTGACTTTCTGTCTTTATGATCGTGCGTGCGGTTGTAATTTTAATCGTGATAAATTGATTTTTCTGAATATTTCATCTTTTCCCTCTTGCTCCTTGAATCTTGGGTGTAATCCTTTCTTGAAATAATGCATTCTGAAATGGTTACCTGCTTTGCTTGATCTTCTTGATTCATGGAAAGTCGTTTTCTGCAGCTGTGGTAAAAACAGGAGAAAAACAAAGCCAACTTTTGGTAGTTTCTAATCTACCTAGAAAGTTCATCCTCTATAACTTAAAAAAAAAAACTTTTTTAAACTAGAAACACAAATCTTTCAACATATTCTTCACGTTGTTTTTTCAACTTGAATTAATCCATGTGCTTCTATTTAAGAAATTACACCCTGTCTGTCTGTGATGGTTATAAATCCTGAACGTTTTTGTTCTTGCTTAGCTTAGCTTAGCTTAGCTCATGGGACTTATTCTCTTCCTAATCATGTTGATGCCATTCTGATTCACTTTTTTATTAAAAGATTTCAATCTAAATCTTTAGGCCTCTCTCTTTAAACTTTAAAGAGGTGAAATTTTCTAGTGTCTGGAAGAGGATCAAATCCTTATTAGGCACTGCCAAATCAGATGCTGCTTCACTCTTCTCCAATGTTTGCTCTCTAAAATGAGATATCTCAGTCTCACTCCATGTAAACTACACATTCTGATCCTACTTCCACCACTTTTGCACTTGTCAACATATAAAAAACACAGCTCACACAACTCTGCTATATATAGCCTGCCCAATAGAATATATATGTAGTTGAGATCAAATGACAACTTAAAAATACTAGGGACCCCACTTAAAATGACAACCTTTTTTGTACATAACATTTAAAAAAACACATCATTCCACTCCTATATCAATGATTAAGATAATTGCTGAAGAAACTTTGTAAAAAATGCTTTTTTTGCATATGCATATATCGATATATGTGGATATGTATGTCTTATGTTCATATGTATATTAAAAAAAAGTTTGATTTTTTTTTTAAACGAATCTCTTAGATGCAGCCTTATATGTATGTTTGGTGTTTTTTTTTGGTGCATATGATCTTATATGCAGAAGTGTATATGCATATGCACATATGTTTGTATGCAAAAAAAAAAAAAGTTCGTTTTATGGTGGATTTTTTTGCTACGAAGCTATAGGAGTGGAATGATGTATTTATCTTTTGAAAATATTGTGTAGAAAAAAAGTTCTCAAAGTTCCTAGTATTTTTAACTTCTCATTTGATCTCAACACACACACACACGACTATGTAAATTTAGGATGGATATAGATAACCGTATAGATATGGAGTCATGAGTCATGATGATACACAAGTATGTATATATATGTGTAAGATGTTGAGGGTTCTTTTATTTAGAGCATATAATAAGGTAAGGTATTAGTAAATGATGAGAAATTATGTAATTATATATTATACATAATTTCATATAAAAATCTCACCAGTGAAAGTTAAATCTCTTGTTTTCGTTTAATGATAACATTGATTGATGTGTTTGTGTCTTTGAGAGAACATAATAAATAAATATATAATGAATTGCTGCACACCGACTACAGTGTGAAAAACTTGCTATTGTTTGTCAACCCACAAAAATGATATATCTCTCGTATTCTTTTTGTATTATGTTTTTGGTTGGGACAAGATCATTCAGTTTTGAAATACAGCATCCTCAGTCAGTTTTCCTCAGCCTTTTTCTTCAACCCTGAGATGACAAATTTACAATCATGAGTTCTCATTATTTATATTCGGTGATTTCACAATCCTTCAAAGATGCTGCTGTTTTTTGTTGGGGTTGGGAAACTCTTCTGTTTTGGGTATATTATTATAGTTTGGATTTAGTAGTGTCTGTCTGTTCAAGTGCTACAAGCAATAAATAGTGTGGTGGAATCAGTGTCAGCAATCAACAACACAAGAACCCTGGACTGACCTGGTAACTGGTAAGTAGATACAACTGGTTGCTGCTGTTTTTTTTCATTTTTCATTTTTCATTTTTCATTTTATTGAGCTGAAAAGTATTCCTTTTTTATGTGTTACTTTCTGTACTCCATGTTTCTAGTGCAAATAGTCGCTAAGCATCTTGTAGTTCATGTAATGATAGTCTTCATTCATTGTTTTGCTTTGGAAGTAGTAATATCAAACAAATAAAAAATATAATTATGCATGTCACACATTTTTCTAATGCGGTATGTGATCAATTTTGAGGGTGGATTGGCTTTTGTTATGAATTTGGTCCCTCCCAAATTGAAATCACTAACTTACCTTTATTTAATATCTTTTTTCAAATTACTAAAAAACAATTACAAGTGAGCGTAACCTTTGATTGCAAACTTGGCGATCAACGGTAGAAGTTAGTCTGACATGGACCAAGACAACATGGAAACAAGGTGGAAAAAAATGAAATTTGCAATTTTAAAAATATAGGGACCAAAACGAAAAAAATCAGAAAACTATATAGACCGAATTTGCAGCTTACCCTTTTATGTTTTTACTGTGTCATCATATAAATTCCGTTTTACATTTTCAGAGTAATTGATTGCCGTCATGATATTCCAACTACCAATCCCACCGCCTAACTACTGTCGTCATCGCACTACCCAAAAAAAATATTACAAAAAGAAAAGGATGTACATCTTAACAACCTTATAAAATAACATAAATAAAAAGAATTAATCATTCATGGCAAGCTTACAAATACCATACCACATCATTAGAGTTGTTAGAGAAACGCTCTAGATATTACTTGTATGTGATGAAATTGTTTTGGATGAACTAAAATGATGGAAGGAAAACCAGTTCATGTTTAATCCAACTTCATAATCACTTATGAATAAATTTCTTTTAATTTAATCCGAAATTTGGGATTATGGTTTATATTTGGATGAAACGTTAAAAGAAAAATCAGTGTAACAAGACAAAGATACACCAACTCAAATCTTATAGGAGCGTATATCCATTTTTGAACCCGACCTAGCCAGACTTATTTTAACAAAAAAATGTGTTAGTTTAACGATTTAGGGACTATTGTAGATTCACTTTTAAAATAAAAATAAGGAAAAATCAAATCACAATACCAAAGCAGTGGGGTATCACCTTTTTGTTAGTTATCATAAATTTTGCATTATGTCCCGTTATAATTGCAAAATTATTTTTCGACCACAGAAAACAGGAGATGTAAGAAAAATCATATATTTTTGCAGTCTTTAGTGTAATTCGTAACATCTGATTTTTTTTTTTTTTTTTTCTTTTATGATATAAAAAAATGATCAGTTTTTAAATGATGTCAACCTTGCATTTTTGTGATTTTCCCTGATGTAAAAGTAAAACCATTTAGACCTTTTAAATTTGGAGTAGTTGGTTGTCGAAATTAAAAATATCAAGGAACGTTTAAAGGTCACGATTTTAATGGTTGATCACATGAAAATTAAAATGCTTTGCAGACAAAAACGATAAATCACTACTCGAGAAAGTGGTTACAAATTTTTGCACTTCTTGCGGGGGTCGGATAGTGTTTCATACAGACACTCTATCATCATCATCTGGGAAAGTGTGATCATTTTCATCCACGATCAGATATAAACTGAGGTGCGAGTTTTATCATCCAATTCCGAAAACTATTCATGTATTTGGGTGAGATTTATCATCGGTTTCGAGTGCTAAGTAAAGTTTAATCCAAGTAATACGATAAATCACTACTTGATTCTGTAATATCAAGAAATCGTCGCATATGGCGACCACCAGATCGCTACAGCTTGTATTCAACAGAATCAAGAGCAGGGGAACCGTTCGGTGCTTTGGGACTGCTACCGAAGGCATCGCCTCTCCTGCCGCCTCTTCTCGCCACCTTATCGATTTAGAACACGATTACAGCGCACACAAGTATGCCTTCTCTCTCTCTCTCTCTCTCTCTCTCTCTCTCTCTCTCTCTCCACACACACACATGCGTGTGTTTTGTGTGCACATGGGCTACGATTGTTTTTTTTAATCGATTCGTGGGGTTTCTTGATTCTGCTATGTTGCTGTGTTACATTCTTACTGATATGAATTATGCTCCCTTCATTCCATAACTATGTTATCTTCCCCAAATTTGCAGAAATTAAGTTTAGTAAGACACAGAAACTAGAGAATATTGATGTCATTCAACTGCAGATACGAATTAGGAACACTAGGAGAATAGTTTTTAATGTATGTGATTGCCTATGTGATGTATGTCCGAATGAAGGATTTCCAATTTTATAAGAACAATGAAAATAGGTGATCAACTGCATTATATGTACAACTCATCTTCATCATCATCATCATCATCATGTTATTTGGTTCTACATGCTTACATCTGTAGCCACAATTTGAGCTTTTGAATGGTTGTTTCTCAGTTATCATCCTGTCCCTGTTGTATTTTCTCATGGAAAAGGGTCGGCTATTTGGGATCCAGAAGGCAAAAAATATCTCGACTTTCTTGCAGCTTACTCTGCAGTTAATCAGGTGAGATACACACAAGGTTTGAAAAATTTTGTTGATCAAAGGGGATAACTGGTTTTTTGGTACAGGGACATTGTCATCCAAAGATCATGAAAGCATTAATGGAACAGGCACAAAACCTAACCCTCAGTTCTAGAGCCTTCTACAATGACAAATTTCCAGTCTTTGCAGAGTATTTAACCAAAATGTTTGGATATGACATGGTTCTTCCAATGAACACTGGTGCTGAAGGAGTAGAAACCGCTATAAAGCTTGCAAGAAAATGGGGTTATGAGAAAAAAGGAATCCCCAAAGATCAGGTACTAACTTAATATAACAAGTCTTTAAGCAGTAAAACCCCTCAATTTCTCTGTTTGATTTGATGTGCATTGTGCAGGGTATCATTGTCTCATGTTGTGGTTGCTTCCATGGTCGCACAATGGCTGCTATTTCCATGAGTTGTGATAATGATGCCACTAGTGGATTTTGGCCATTGTTACCTGGTCAACTTAAAGTTGACTTTGGAGATGAAGCTGCCCTTAAGAAACTTTTTGAAGGTTTTTGAAATTCCAATTAATATTCCTTGCTTTTATACCTTTGTCAACAAGATACTTATCTTCAATTTCTTTCACTTAATATATGCAGAAAAAGGAGACTATATAGCTGGTTTTTTATTTGAGCCCATTCAAGGAGAGGCTGGGGTATGTAATCTTCACTTTTTCTTCTTCTTTTCTATCTATTGTAGTTTTTTTTTTTTTTTTTTTTTTTTTTAATGTTTTTGAATTTCTAAATTTGCATTTTTATAGGTTATGATTCCTCCAGATGGTTATCTTAAAAGTGTGAGAGAACTTTGCTCAAAGCACAACGTCTTAATGATTGCAGACGAGATACAAAGTGGGTTAGGAAGATCAGGAAGAATGCTGGCATGTGATTGGGAAGGTGTGAGGCCTGATGTTGTTGTAAGTTCTTTTTTATGTTTTTTCTCCAAAATCAATAAATTTCAAAAAAAAAAACTTATAAATTATGATATTTCAGATACTAGGAAAAGCATTAGGTGGTGGAGTGATACCAGTTAGTGCAGTTCTTGCAGACAAAGATATCATGCTTTGCATACAACCAGGTGAACATGGAAGGTATTAAGTATCATCCACTTATTACTTATATCATTCAGACATCATCTTATACAATATAATTTGATAACACTTTCACATGTTTATAATCTTTTATTAGCACATTTGGAGGAAACCCATTGGCCAGTGCTGTTGCCATTGCATCATTGCAGGTGATACAAGATGAAAAGCTTGCCGAAAGGTAAATAAATAAAACAACCATCATCTTTTACATCGTTAAAAGATTAAAAAAAAAGTATATTTTGTTTGTTTAAAAAAAAGTAAAAACAATGGTATAATAGATCTGCTGAAATGGGAGAGGAACTGAGAGGATTATTAAGAAAAAGTCAGCAGCAATTTCCTGATGTTGTGATGGAAGTGCGTGGAAAAGGCTTATTCAATGCAGTTGAGCTTATTAGCAAGTCTTTATATCCTGCAAATGCATACGATCTATGTATTAAATTGAAGGAAAGAGGAATTCTTGCAAAACCTACGCATAATGCCACTATCCGCTTAACTCCTCCCCTTTCAATAAGGTACAATTACATAATACAAGAATTAGAATTCGTATTTTCCATTGTTATAAATTTTTAATTACAAAAAATTTTAAAAAAAATAGTTTGGATGAGATTCGGGAAGGCGCTAAGGCGTTTCTTGATGTATTGGAATGCGATCTTCCGAAACTGGTGAAGGAGAAGCCGATGGAAACTACTCCAAAAGCTCCGGAATCATGTCACCGTTGTGGACGCGACTTGTATGGCTCTTCCTAAAAACTATTTTCATGGGAATGGAATAGATTATAGATATTGGAATGGAATAAACAAGGGAATGGAATTCAATCACTCGTTATATTTCATCATCATGTTTGTCGGACTGAACTGAATTTTTATTTGTATGTAAAACACAATATAGATGATTTTAATTTTACTCGAGATTATCTTCACTATAACCAATGGAATTTTATCGACAAAAATAAAAATTGAACATGATAAAAGGTTATTAAAATCCGAATAGTTTAACAAAATAATAGTTTATTCGTTCTTTTCAAAAAAATAAAATTGGAGAAACTATGTGGAGTTCGTACGTTCATATAAAAAGTTAATATTTTTGGGTGCCAAATTGAGATGGAATAGATGGCTACGTGTGTAAATTTGGATCATATGAGCATTGAATTTATGCCCAATTTTTAAAACCCAAATGAAGAAGGATTCTATCTTTGACTCGATCGTTGCTATTGCATTTTCTTTGTTGACTAGTGGATATAGTGAATTCAATGTTTCTAGGTCGGAATGAATTAACAATCCAAATTTGATTTGATATGTTTCTTTTGTCATGATTGTTTGATTTAATAAAAGTTGACTGAGTATTAAAAAGATACTTTGTTTAAATCATTCGTTATTCTTGTTGAGAGTTGTTATAAACAAAACGTAAATAATACTTTTGATGAATACCGGATTTAAATTGAAAAATCTAAAGGAAAAACACTACTTGTAAAAGAACACTATTAATCTCTTGATACCCAAGAGTTGCAAAGGCTAAATGACTCTATAAATAGGAAGAAAGATATAACTATCCAATAGCCTTATATATAAGAAAAAAACCATGCATGTTGACTTTTTTAGAGCTTTATCGTAACCGAGTTGTTGAATGCCACGCTTTTGGGTTTGCAAGGATGAACTAGGGGCGAAGTCGTATAAAACACAGGTTTAGACTTTAGAAAAACCTATAATGGTAAAGACCATTAGTCTTTCTCAAACCAACTTTAATCACAACTCATGAACCTTTTGTCATCTTCAAAGTACCATCTCCATCTGGAATTTGTAACCCTTGACCTCAAAGACAATGAAGGGGATGGCATTTCTTTTAATTGTGGGGATATATCGAACATCTGTTAAAGTTTGAATCATGCCATAAAACATCTTGAAACAGATAGTGCTTACACTTTCAATTTTGCATCGGAACCATTAAAACTATGAACTGACTGGACATTGTGAATTGGTTAAAAAATAGTAAACCAATAATCATGTGAATATATATTCACGTATAACGCCTATGTTTCTGGCTAAACATTATTATGATGATATAATAGTTAGGGTCAATAATTGTAACCTATTTGACATAATAAAGAAGAATTATGTGAATATTATATGTTTTATGATTATTATAATATAATAAAATATGAAAAATTAGTTGAATCGTCCGTAAATTGTAAAAATAAGTGCGACAAAACATATATATTATTATATATTTAGAAAGTACACGTCGTCCTAATCCCTAAAATATAAATTTCGTCGAAATCCGAATCCGTATGAATTAAATATGATTTTTATAAGATATAAAAGTCAGCCGCACACAAAGAATGTGACATAAAAAGCTAAGAGAAGAATGGTTGATTTTTAGCTAATGTCACCAAAAAGAAAATCACAATACTCCTTAAAATAAGAATTTTGAGAAAAAGAATATCAAAAACAGAGTCCCGAGAGAATTATGATTTTAACAAAATCATTTAATTTTATAAAAACATTGACAAAAAATAAAAGCCAAAGTTAGCCGACGAAGTCTAAACGAAAGTTTTAAATTTCGTTGATAGCTACACGTGAATATAAAGAGCATCAAAAACGAAGTTCGTATGAACGAGTTATAATTTATAATAGTATATTTACGTATTAAAATAATATATATATATATATATATATATCATTAGAAAAGTATTGACATTGCGATTGTTATAAGACTAGTGTTTAATCCTGTCGACATTAATTTAGTATAAATATCGTTAAATCTATTTATAATAATATTATAAAGGGGTGTTTAGTCGTTTAAATAACTATAAGGTCAATTAAATAACTATAGCGGATGATTTTTGAGAATTCATTTATTATAAATAAGAGGCTTTAGGCTCTTATATTTCTTGCACCATTCTCTTGATTCAATAGTCTTTATATTATTATCCCGAAGCATTTCGGTCTCTCGTGACACTTTTAGCCCTTTACTTGATAAAATATTATTATTTTCACTTCTAACTTTTTAAATTTCATATAAAATTATGTTATGATTATTATTTCATGATTTAACCATATAAATCATTTTCATTTATTTACTTTATTAATTTAAGAACCTAGTCTTAAATTTTGGGACGTTACAATTATCTACCCCTCAAAATGATTCCGTCATCGGAATCAAATCTTGAGCTGCCTTATTAGATCTTTATCCGGTCACCTTTCAATATATTCAATGGCCACATCACCTTTGTTATTTTGCCATAATTTCAATCCATTCTAATAATTATTAGTACATCATTACGGGTTATTAAACCTCTTAGGCACTTTTACCCCATCTGTCTATTTTTGAACTTTTAACAACATCATGTAATATGGTTATCCAACCTTAAGTCATACATCCCTACATGTACCAACAAGTTTTAAGTCATTTATGAAACTTTATCAAGTCCTTCCACCCCTTAAATCATCATTTGACCATTTATTTACTTAGACATTCTACGTTGCTTATGTACATCCTCTCGTGCTCAAGTGTGCTAATATTATTTCTTTATTTTTCCATGCTCATCATTATTAGTTCATTGCACTCTATTATGCTCTTAAGTATAAAATATGATGCTTACACAATAGCGCATCACACATTTCAATCTAACTTTATTTTTAAACTTCCACTCCATCCTATTTTACACTTTAGATCTAACTAGTACATGTACGTTTCTTCCCACAGGTATTACTTTAAGATAAAAAATGATACATTATCCTCAACAAGGTTTAAAAGTAAATTTTTAATAACCATTTCCCTCCAGTGTTATCCACAAGCTAACCTAATCATGTATAATTTTCCTTATCTACTATCTTCGTACTAATGAGTATTATACTATTCAAGTCCATATGTACTTCACAAACCCCGTACTTATCTTCTTTCTTTCACTTTATATGGTGTGTCAAACCAAAATCTCACTTCTTAAAACTAACACATTCTTGGGTCTGTAAACCTAACTATACCATGACAATAAGCTCTAAATCATATGGTGTAGTTTTAACTCAACTTTTAAAATCTTGTTGGGCATGATTACTGATATTGCCATATTTATACATATTTTAGGCGATAATTATTTACATATTTACTAATAATTTGTTATTACCTAGCATGTTAATATTTGTTTCTTTAGTTGTTTGAATTCATGTTCTGTGTAGTTAGTGATCATTAAACTGCATGAACTTGTTAACATAGTGATTTAGTGAACAATAAATTGCTAGAGCTAGGATCGACCAAAATCTTAGAAAGTAATTGAAGTAAATAAATTTAACTGTGCTAGAGAACATAAATTATGACCATAATTGTGTTTGCGTAATCTTACATAACAAATTCATAATCTACAACTTATTATGTGTTTGACTGTGTGTGACCATATATAGTTTTACATGAATTAAGTTAACATTGGTAAATTTAAACTTAAATTACTAATACAATAATAACCAACTTCACAATCCATAATTGTTAGCTAACCATAAGGAAGAAGTGGATTCGAACTAAACATTAGTGTTTTTAGTAATTGATTGAAATTGAGTAAAGTTCGTATGATCTTGTAAAATCAGATAAAACCCTTTTTAAGTTGTTAATAATTAGGTTAATTTACTAGTAAGTAGATTAATTAGTTAACACTGTTCCCTGTGATCGACACCCGACTTACCCAACTATTCTATAATTCGACTAGGTACACTGCCTAGGTGCATTTTAGTTAGTTAAGTTAGTTAGGTTATAAATATTAAATTAGGTGTAGCTTATTGTACACATCAAGTTTTTGGCACCGTTACCGGGGAACGACTTAGTTAATTACTAGTTTATTTACTTAAAATTAATTGATCCTTTTTGTGGGGTAAAACCTGCAAAGAGTTATTTTTTTCTGTTTCATTTTACCTGCATTACAGAACTTACGATGTGAGCTTTATTGCTCACGACGTGAGGACTGGATTCTTAGTTTTATTTGCTTTTAGTTTGTCTTTATTATTTCAGTTTTACGTTTTTATTTTTTGTTTTATTTCAGGAGTTCATGACTAGAGGCTCTAACACACCTTTGGTACCACCACTTGAAGAATCAGAGTCCGCCCTTCACAAAAAGAAAGATAAGAACGTGAAAGAAGATCAAACACCAAAGAAAACACCTTTAAAAGAATTCAAGTCAGTGTTCTCAAAGAAGTCGGGGAAGAAAACGGAGGAGTTAAGTTCATCTTCAAAGAACAAGAGCAAGGTTGAAAACTTAGATTATCTACCTGTCCAAACCGAATCTGTATTTCTTAGCCCGCTATTTGGCGGAGTTTGCAGCGAGTTCCCATTCCGGGAGCCCTATTTGTGGAGGACACTTTATTACACGTTTGGCCCAGTCTTATGGTCTCATTGTTCCCAGCATCACTCGTTCTTTGACTTGCATGGAGGGAACCGAATTCTCTATGGGATACTTGGAAACAATGAGGGTGGTTCGGAATTTTGGGTCTCATTGGGGCCTTGTTCATATTGATGATGAGGGTGATGATGGAGGGCAACCTGGTGCACAGCCTGAGCAACAACCACAACAAAGGCCTCAGAGGAAGAACGTACGAGGACGAGGAGAGAGAGGGCAGCCGATGCATCCACCCGCACCCATGGTAGGATCACATTTTGGGTATGATATGGTTGGGTATTTCGATCAGCTCTCGTTGAGTGTCAATTGGATTGGAGGGACTGTGGAAAATATGGTACAACATTTGCATGTGGAACAACCTCCTCACCTGGGGTATCATTACCCAATCTGCAGTAGGTGGAGTGAGTATCGAGGCCAAGGGGGATATGGAGTCGGTACAAGTGGAGCACGGGATGAAGAAGATGACGATTGAGTTCTTATTTAGTTTTATTTTTAGTTTAGTTTGCATTTGTTTATTTTTTTTAGACTTGTTATGGTTTGTAAAACTTATTAAACTATTATGTTACTTTGAGTCGTCCTTTGGTGGCTTTATTT